AACAATATTCCTCGATTTTTCAACTAGAATTCCATTGTATATATTTCGTTTCGACGAGACTATATCATTCTAGCACCAGCATCATTTGCACAAGCTCGTATTTGGCATGATGAACAAATTCGATTCAATCTAGAAAAACCACAAGTAGCAATCTATAATATGGCTTTTGTTTACCGTCTTCAATCAAGTCATACTCTATCGATTAAACAACTTCGCCATGCTCTACAGCTCACTACTGACAAACATCTCTCACTTCATACATCACTTCTCTTCGATACAGAAATGAATCAACTCATGCAACGAGTTATTACACGGAAACAAAACTATACTGATATGCTTTCAATCATCGAAACTACTTATGAAACAGACGAACAATTGAATGAGATTTTACACAATGAGAAACGTAATCCTCAGCTTTTTGATCTTGCTCAAGGTCTTGTCTTTCGATATCATATTATTTATTATAAACAAATCTCTTCAAATCATCTTCTTTCTGACCAGAATATAGTCATTTTCAATTTTCATCATGCTGTATTTGATTTTCCATCAATGCAAGCGTTTCTTCATGATCTCAATCAAACATATACGACAGGTCAATTATTATATGATGACAACACTAATCTTCGTTATCTTGATTGTAAATATAAATACTACTTCTACTTTTCTCTTTTCTAATACATTATTTTTTCTAATTATGTAGATTCTGTTATTGAACAACAAATGTCAATGACCGGTGCAAGTATGTTTTGGCTTGATGCTCTTCATGATTGTAAACTTGATCAACCATTATCATTACCATTTGATCGATATCGTCTCTCAAATGAACATCGAACTGATCTCGGAACATCTATTTCATTTGATTTTAGTCAAGATCTCTCACATGCCTTTCTTACTCACGCATCCTCAAACAACATATCAATTGAACATCTCACAGTTGCTATTTATTTCATTTTTCTATTTAAATTGACTAATGGACAAACAGATCTATGTATTGCTATGAACATAAATAATAATCGATATAGTGACGAACTCAAATCAATCATTGGCTTGTTTGAGAATGTCATTCCATTACGATGTCAATTAGATTCTCATTGGTATTTTCATCAATTACTCAAACATATTCAAGACATAACAACAAAGAGTATGAAATATTCATATTTTCCACTTCAACGTATTCTCAACCAACATTCACATATTTCAAAACATGCATTTTTGGATACATCTCTAGAATTCATATCATACAAGAGTAATAATGCCATGATGATTGGTGATTCTGAAATTGTTCCAGCATCTGCTTCATTCAATATTAATGAAGATGAGATACTAAGTGCATCCGACTTCTCTCTTTCTATTTATCATGATATGAACATGAATCAACTGTCATGTACAATCAATGCATCACTTGACTTATTCCATAGAGACACAGTGGAAAAGATTTCACAACGATTTCATTTCATCTTACATCAATTATCTACATCTATTATTGACAATCAAATAAGCAAACCAATCCATGAATTATCATTGATATTATCAAATGAACAATATCTAATGCAATCAATGAATAATACACAAATGTCATTTCCATCTCCTCTTACTTGCATCCATTATGAGTTTGTATATCA